ATATTAACTACATGCACAGCCCAAAATCAGATTAACACAATAATTTGAAACAACAAATTTTATTCATTTTCTATTTACATAATCTATGTAAACTGACAAATTACACCTAGTTAATATTCATAATAATTACTATATTTATTGCAACAATAATACACAAAAATTACAAACATAAAACTGAAATTAAGTACTAACTTATAATGTTATACAGCGTTTCTCAACATATTTGTTTGTAGTTTTATTGAGACTGAATTGCTCAATGTATTTCACCACTTCCTCTCTTTGCCACAAGTTGACTGCTGTCATATTACGACCAATAGTTTGAGAATCGCTGCAATACACTATTAGATATAAGAAACTTCCAATACTGTTCGTGATCGGTTAACGGATTACAAATCGGACAACTCTCAAGAAAAATTTGTATGTCCGGACACAAATACATATTCGGATTACCCATAAAAATCTATGGTAAATCGGTTTACGAACTTTAAACGGATTATGTTCGTTAACAAAATACCTGCTACATTAACTAAAAGCATATGAGGTCATTCCAAAAGTCGAAACAAAAAATCTATTAATTATTTCTCTATATATTTACGATAAATTACACTTGCTTAACAATATTTATATCACTAATAATTACTACTTAATAATATTGATTAAAATAACTACAGCAATTTAACAAACTAAATAATAGTTTTGCATAACATCCAATTGGTGTTGGAACTACCAAATTACACGATTCATTATGTAATTCGTGATCTGAGGTAGAAAACAGGTGGCTCATCTAATGGACACGTTCGAAATGGACTAGACGTGGGTTTTATGGGCTTTAGCAATAAAACCGTTCCAATTAATCGATCCTTGCTGACTGAGCAGAATTTATTGGCCGCGAAAATGACCAATTAAATGGCGTATAAATCAAATTTCGTGCTAATGACTTCAAATAATTTGGAAATAACATTAATCCAATTTAAATCGAGTAGGCGTTTGTTTTTTACTTGGTTCAAGGCGATGAAGTGTACATTTTAAAATTATTTTTTTTATATACATACGTAAATTCAAATGTTAATTGATTAATTTTAAAACTTTATATTTCGCTCAAATTTCTATATGAATTGAAATATGATTTTATAAAAATCTGTCTTCTGTTTCCTCCTTAAAATATTTATAATATTTGTTAATATAATTGAATTTACATCTTTTTTTGTTTTTGATTAACTTCAAAAGTTTATTTAGCTCAAATTTCTATATATAATATATTATATCACAATATTTTACTAGATGAAGTTTAATAATAACCACATACTACATTTAAACGCTCAATTTTCTATAAAAATAATAACAAATTTGTTTTACTCAACTCTTCAAATGAAGTTTTATACGAAGAAACATGAAGTGAATATAATTGATTCCCATAATTCCCATCTTCGATCGCCGTTAGAGATGTTTAAAGTCGATGTCGTTGCGTAAAAATGCTGGAACGAATCAAGTATATTACTTCAAAGGCACGAATATTTCAATACTTTTTTTCTCAAATGAACATGCGCCCGTTTTCAACAAGCAGATGTAGCAAATAGAGTTATTAAAGCTGCTGGTATTTTTTCTATCTTTCTCGGATGTCATTCTTTGCATACGGAGAACGGCAGTCTACACTTTATTATCCAGCAAAACACATTTTCTGCGATTATTCCACATAACATTTTTATTTTCTACATACGTAAAAAATTCATTTACATTTTCAATATAAAATTTACTACCAGTAAAAACAATGCTTTAAATTAATAACATTCATTAAAACAAAATATTATTAACCTAATTTTAAATATTATTAATATATTATACACATTTATATAACATGAAATATTTATCAGGAGTACTAACTCAACTTTGTATAAGTGATATAGATAACCATAGAATTAGTACCATCAAGAAAATTACTTTTGACACTGACTTTTCCGTCTTAATTCATACGTTCACAGTAAACCAATTACCATGTTTAAATATTGGGTTTCGGTTTCCGAACTAATCTTTGTATCAGAGTTTGTAACACAGGGAACCATATAATTAAAATCATTAAGAAAATTACTTTTGACACTAACTTTTTCGTCAGAATTCTTTCATTGACAGTCAAACAATTATCATGATTAAATATTCGGTTTCGGTTTTCAAACTAACCTTTGTAACAGAGTTTGTGATACAGGCAACCATATAATTAGTATGATTATGTAAATTACTTTAGACACTGACTTTTCTGTCTTAATTCATACGTTCACAGTAAAATAGTTACCATTTTTAAATATTAGGTTTCGGTTTCCGAACTAATTTTCGTATCAGAGTTTGTGATACAGACAATCATAGAATTAGTACCATTAAGAAAATTACTTTAAACACTGACTTTTCTGTCATAATTCATACATTGACAGTCAAACAGATACCATGTTTAAATATTCGGTTTCGGTTTTCAAACTAACCTATGTATCAGAATTTGTGATACAGTCAACCATAGAATTGGTAACTTTAAAAATAATACTTTTGACACTAACTCTTCTGTCTTAATTCATACGTTGACAGTAAAACAGTTACCATGTTTAAATATTAGGTTTCGGTTATCGAACTAATATTTGTATCAGAGTTTGTAACACAGGGAACCATAGAATTAAAATCATTAAGAAAATTACTTTCATACATTGACACTAAAACAGTTACCATGTTTAAATATTCGGTTTTCGAACTAATCTTTGTATCAAGACTAATCTTTGTGAGACAGGCAACCATATAATTAGTTTTAACTAAGTAAAACAGTTACCATGTGTAACAAACAAAATAAATTAAAGTCTTTATATTTTGTATATACTTTTGCCTCCTTTTTGGTTTCGGTTTTCGAACTCAGCTTTGTATCAGTTCTTATGATGCAGGTGACCATAGAATTAGTTTCATTAAGAAAATCATTTTATCTGACAAAGACAATTCTGTAGACAAACACCACAAAAATATTGTATAATTAAATAACAAATTTCTACCGCATTCTCTACATTTTTTCTTACCTTATATTTTAATTATTGATTGGATTGTTATGTTTTTTTATGGATACGACACCTTTAAGGTGAAATAATTACAGTTTCCTTTGTAATTTTCGGCCCACTGCGTCCAAAAACCGATACAAATTGTACGTTCGCAATCTCGCATTGAATATTAATCGGAAACATTTTATTGACTAATCGTCGAAGCCTTGAAACATATTATGTTCCTAGTAAGTTTTACGCAACGAACACATCCCGTGAATACTATGCATAATTTATGACAGTAATTTAATCGATACAACAAATCTAATTAAACTCTTCCTCCATTCAAACAACAATCACCAATTAAAATCAATAACTTAGAGGAAAAAAAAACGTTATGTTAATATTTTTTTTCTTGTTAATATCGACGATACAACAAATCTAATGAACTGTCAATCACTAATTAAATTCAAAACACTTCATTATTTTTTTTCTTGTTACTATCGACAATTAAATTATATAACTTAAAACGCGCTGTTTATTAATATATTCTTATTAATATCGATGATGCAACAAATCTAATGAATCTCTTGTATTACTAAAATACAAAAATATATTGTTTAAATTGAAAGTTTTTTTTAATAATGATATTCAAATATTCTCCATTTTTTAATGAGTAAGAAATATATAGATTAAACGAAAAGTTTTTGAATATTCCTTCAGCAGGTGATTATAACGTATTATCAAGGATCTGAAACCGATGTATGCTAATAAGCTATTAACAGATCAAGAAAATAAGTGAAAAATTAGGTACCTGACATAAAAAAATTGGGCAGGTGAGACGTTATCAACAGTGAAGGGACGATTAAAAAAATAATTAACAATTAAATTATCTCACATGTTTTAGATGTATAAATGTTTTTAAAACAAGCTGATAATTTAAATTTCAAAAAAGACAAATGTTTACTACACTTTAGCTCAGTGTTTCTCAACTATTTAACCGCGCAATGACAGCTGTCAACAACATTGTATTGCCTTTGTCTATTATGTACAAATGAAAAAAAAATAATTGAAAAGTATATTTTAGAAATAAATTATCAATTTTTTAAACAAGCTGATAAACGACAAATTTTCTAGGTCAGTATTTCTCAAGTATTTAACCGCGCGATCCAACATATATGTTTATTGATATACATCTACCCAATTGTTAAGAGTATTTGACACAAGATGACAGCTGTCAACACTGTATTGTATTGCTGTTGTCTACTATGTGTTAATGAAAAAAAAACAATTGAAAATTATATTTTATAAATAAATTATCAATTTGACAATGACAGTGACGTAAAACGTCATTAATTTTAGTTTTTTATAAAATATCTATTGTATACACGTAGTTAAACTATAAAATAATTTGCTTTTCTATACTTAATGCAGTTATTTCATATAATTATGGTTGTATTCAAAATATGTATTGAAATATTTCTGTTGATTTTAACTTAACAAAACGTAATTATCAACTAAATTATCCGTTGTATGTTTGATGCAAAGCGTCAGAACATCAAAAATGTTTCCTTAGAAGAAAATATGTAAATTTATTTCATGTAATAACTAGGTATTGCATAGAATAACTGTGTAAATTAGTATTATAATAGATATCTTTTTTTCTAAAAATTAACTGCCGTTAACCGATATTTCATAAAATACTTTGGTAATATGTAGATAAAATATAGATTTTAATTTAACAAAGTTTTTAAAGAACTGAACTTTTAATTTTATATGTAAATTAACGAGTGAGAAAAGGTTGATCCTGCTGCATAAAGAACAATCGCTCCACAATAATCAACATTAATGCATTTCGATTGTGTCCGGTACATAACTCATGCAAATCCGGGCGAGAACAATGAGCCAAAGCTGGTTTAGCTAATTACCGCGGCGCCACCAACAAAAGTCTGCAAAAAAAGCATCTTAATAAAAAAAACTGTTGTCTTCATGTTACAGAACACACTACAACCGACCATCTTCGAGCCGAGGATGGCCCAGCTGGAAACCCTCGAGGCGAAGGTGAGATTTGATTTTTTTGTTATTACGACACAAGCGTCTAGGGATGGGCCTCATTCGCGTTATGCAACGCATGAAAATCGCTGCACAAAAGATCCTTTCTAAAAAACATTTTTTTTTGCTACACTTCTGTTTTATTTTTCTCTTCTCGATTAATTGCAATAAGTGTTAGATCATTTCGGATGAATTGGCAATTTGCGAAACGCTTTTAATACGCGTTAATTAAAACCGTTTGATATACACGCAATCACTTCGCTAATTGGAAACGATTGATCATTTAGTTTTGTTAGGAAAGTGTTTGCGCATTTCCAGAGGCGGTGGAATTCATTAACAGGAGAACTCCAGAAACACGAAAATACAGGTCTCGGAATGTTTCTAGCACCATTTAAGCAATTAAGTGGTTTTAGAATAAATTATTATAATTTTCGTGCTGCAGTTAGTTCAGACTTTGGAGCAGAGTAATTGCCTGTCGAAGATAGGTATTTATTTGTATGGATGAATATTCCATCTAATTTAATTTCGAAATAATTGCGAGCTGTTTAGATCGAAGATTTTTCCTCACATGAACCTTTCAGACATGGACATGTGATGAGAGATAAGGGAATATAGGCGTGTGTGCATGTGGGTATGACATTCATATTCACATTTCGAATCAGTCATAAACGATACATCTGTAATTATTTGCATTTCTACAAGAATATTGAATGAACGTTTACAGAATGTATTATCATCAATAAACAAAACAATGTACAGCAATACCTCGCATAGTACGGCTTTGATTAACTCAGATTCACTATAGTACGGTTTAAAAAACAGACTAAATTTTAATAGTAAATAAAAAATAGTTTTTTTTTTTCTCTTTTTTTCATGCGGTGTTAAAGTCCACTATTAATCCGGTTTCAAACAGTGCGGATTAATTAAAGCGTTAGGAAATTTGTACACAATTTTTTTTTTATTTCCTTAAAGAAATCTCTTTACTGTACTGTTTATTTTTATGTGGTTTTAAAATGCTCGATTAGTCCGGTTTCAAACAATGCGGAACCAATTTTTTCATAAGTTTTTTTTATAAAATGAAAACGTTTGGAGATCCATCAGATTAAGATAAAAGTCAATTCTAACAAATTAGTACACAAAATTATTATTTTATTTCTTTTATAAAATCAAGTCTCTTTACTGTATTGTTTATGTACGGTTTCAAGCAGTGAGGATCCCATGACCCGCTCTATGTGAGGTATTTTTGAGTCTTTAATTACTCCGGATTTAAAGAGTGCGGAACCAATTATCCGCACTTTGCGAGGTAGTTTTGAGTCCTTGATTAGTCCGGATTTTAAGAGTGTGGAACCGATAATCCGTACTATGCGATGTATTACTGTATACGGTTTGCTCATTTTTTTTTTATTTAAAGCGTTTAGAAATTAGGAGATCGATCAAGAATAAAGTGCATGAAATCGTTAATTATAGTTGTCGGTGCGAAAAGGGAAAGCTAATTTAATAGCGCAGACAATGTTTGGTACGTATCAATTCGGATCGGGTTTAAAGTTGAAAGTGGATCTAATTCTAAAACTGTTTCCTAGTCGATTACACGAATCATGTAAGCAATAAATTACGTCACAGTGCGTTAGAAGATGATAGATACTAACTGACATTTACTGAAACATAATTTAAAAGAAAAATGTAAACTATTTCATTTAGTAATCATTTAAATGCTTAGAATTTAGAGCCAGAACATGTTTAAAGCCAAAACATATTAAGTATTTTTTATTATCTTTGCAATTAAATTACTACAAAATCTACTCCAAACTATAAATATGATAATCAACATTTTCTGAAAAACAAATAAAAAAACTGATTCATTTAGTAATAATTTAAATGCAGAATTGTTTATGTTTTATAGCAAAACATATTAAGTATTTTTTTTATTATTTTTTGCAATGAAATTACTACAAAATGTACTCTAAACTATAAACAGTAACAATTTAAATGCAAAAATGCTTTCTTAAAAAAAACATACATTTATAAAAAAAAATATCTAAACTGCTTCATTGAATGATACAAACATACCTCGATTAGCGAAATTACTTCCTTAAACGAAATTTCGTTCTCAAAAGTAAACATATTATAGCCAATACGTTCCTTCGAAAATTAAAACTTTTATTAAATAAAGACAATTTACGTACAATATTTTCAATGTCATTTAAGCATTTTTTTACATATTTTGTTATTAACATATTATTCTTTAACATATTTCATCTGTGTTTTCCTCTTAATTTTCTTTGCTTTTGTTGTTCGCAACAGGTTTTCTCAAATTTCCACTGAAAAGATGTATTCTTTTGCATTCAATATATTTCTAACATCCTATTCTTGATCATTGCCGAGAGTTGGCCTTAAATTTGAATATTTTTTAAGTTAATAAGGCTAGAATTTGAAGACTTCGCTATAAGAAAAGCTTCGTTATCAGAGATAACTTATCCAAGGTATGATTTTACAATTAAACTTTAAATATATTTTCTATAGTTGAATTGCTACAAATTTTATCAAAATATTTGTTTCACGTTATAAGACAGACAATCAGCATTTTAATACAAAGTAATCTACTCAATTTAGTTACAATTTAAAAGCAGAATTTCTTATGTTTACAACCAAAGAGACATAAAATATTACTTGATCACGTCTGTAGTTAAATACAGAAATATTACCACTATATTTAAGCAAATCTCTTGGAAGTAATAAGCTAGATAATCAGAGCTTTCACTGAAAGGTTTTACTTGCTTTATTGTTACTGGTAATTATAATGATTTATGTAGAAACTAAGAAAAGCAAGGATTGAGTATGCTTTACAACTAGATCCAGACTGGATGTATGTAGACAAAATAAAAATAGAAGAGACAGAGAAAAAAAAGGAACGATGTAATTTCGAATAACAACCTACGCGTATAAAGTTACATATGAAAGCATTATTGTCAACGTTTACGACTGCAAATCTAAATATATGGACTTGCTTAACGTATCGGCTCTCATTGTATGTTTGTATTTTTTTTATATATATTTCATTTCACTTATTTTCATCCTCGTCGCCCGAGGTGGTTCATGTACATTACAGGTTTTCATTGTTGAAAATAAAGGAGAATGAAGCGTCTCCGTTTAATGAGTTCAAATGCATTCGAAGTGAATAATAAAAATTAACTAAATGGAAAAGAAAGAGCGATTGAATGATTTCAAAAAAAAGAACGTATGAAAGCAATTTTGTATTTAATAGTTACATTAAAAATGTAATAATATTTATTGCAATAATTATAATGTAAGACAAATAATTGCACAATTTTTTTAGAGAAATTTGATTGTTTTTTTAATCATTATAGGTAAAAGGTATTTGATATAATAATGACAATATTTATTGCAGTAATTATAAGATAAAGCAAATCATTGGTAAGAGAAATGTGTGAAATTTGCGTTTTAAATTTTATGAGTTGAAACGTTTGCTACGTTCGATTTGGTTTGGGTTCAATCATAGAAGCGTTTAGAGGCGAGATTTCAGACAGGGTGTGTCTGGAACCGGTCTCGTTAATTCAAGAGTATCATCGGATGCATTTATGCAGGTTTCTGAATTAATTATAATAAAACCTAATCCGTTTCTACTATTGAATTATTTAGTTTTTCGTGTACATTTTAAACAAATTATTCAAACAAATAATGTATTACAACTGTATGACATACCACGGAAGCTAATTTTATTATAAATGTCTCACCTTTCCAATAAGTCTATTGACAACCGTTCGTCTGCTATAAGGTGTCAAAAATGTTAAAATTGAAAATGCAATGTCTTCACATTTTATTTAATCACAGGAGAACCACGCAAACTAATTACATAATTCAACAAATTTCATAAACTGAAAACTTTCACCATTTTAATGAAAAAAATCTAGCTTCATTTCCACCATTGAATTAATAAGTTTTTCATGCACAATTCAAATTATCGAATTGTTCCAACAAATAATTTAATATAAGTATATTGTATACCACGCAATCCAATTTTATTATAATATATGCAAATTAAAGCTAAAACTCTCAGCTTTTCAATGAGCCTACTGACATGTTCTTGCTGTCATCGATTCGCTTGTTATGAGCTGTCAAATATGTCAAAGTTGAAAATGAATTGTCTTCACTTTTATTTTAATTACCGGTAAACTACGCAAGTTAATTCTATAATTCAACAAAAATCGTAAATTGATAACTGCCACCATTAGAATGAAACAAATCTAGCTTCGTTTCCTCCATTGAATTAGTAAGTTTTTCATATATAATTCAAACTATCAAATTGTTCCAATAAATAATGTATTATAAGACAATTTTATATTAATATTTGCACATTGAAGTTAAAAGTCTCACCTTTCCAATAATCCTACTTACATGTTGGTACTGTATTTCATTCGTCTGCTATGAGCTGTCAAAAATGCCAGAGTTAAAAATGCAATGTATTCACATTTTATTTAATCACAGGATATCCACGCAAGCTAATTACATAATTCAGCAAAAGTCGTAAACTGAAAACTGCCAGATTTCGAATGAAATCTAGCTTTAATATTTCGTTTTTGAAAATTTGTAAATATTTAAGAAATTTGATAATATTTTTAATGTTAAACAATGTTAAAGTATTTTCTTTTATGGAAAAATAAAATAACATAAACGTAAATACAAAACACGTCATTCGTTTCTGAAGAAAACGAAGTAATAAGGGAAAAGAAAGAATGAAATAGGTCTTATTGATAGCCCGTACATCCATATAAGCTAATATAAACGTTCTCATTAAAGAAAAATAACTTTTCCTAATTAAACATTAATAAATTAAGCTTTAAAGAAATTCGGACGATTCATGTGTATTTTGAATGGATTACATGAAAAGTTAATTTTGAATGGAAGACAAACAAACAATTTACTGTGTAAATTAAAATAATTTTCAATAAAATTCGGAGGGTTATGGTAATGTAAGGCTCTTTATAGAAAAAAAACTGGATTAACTGTACATTGAATGGATTTACATGAAAAGTTATTTTTGAATAGAAGACTAAACAAATTGTTTATTCAATCTATACACAGTTTAATTAAATTAAGCTTTGATTAAATTCGGAGGGTTGATGTCGATGTGAAGCTTTTTATTGAAAAAAAAAACTAGATTAACTGTGCTTTGAATGGGTTTACTTGAAAAGTTAATTTTGAATGGAAAGCATTTGCATTGGGACAAAGGGTTGACTAAAAAAAATGCTTGTACCCTCGAGCGGCGTTACCACAATGGACGAGGGGAGGAAGTCCATGGTTTTTCGAGTTCAATCAACTGCATTACATCTATGTAAATATTGCATAAGTAGAGAGCATCGACGATAATAATGGAAATGTAGACGATGAAGAGTTCTTTTCTCTAAAGGGAATAGAATGGAGTGGGTGTATCTAGTGCTTAGACGTAATAAGCGTACAGGAGATTCAGACCGCATATGCGAATTGACCTGAGATTGCTGAGGGTCATGCAATTGCATACACATGTAAGGAATAATACCCGACGCAAGAAAAAAACGAAGAGAGAGAGGATCATAACACACCTTGAATCCCTTATAAGTCGTTCGCGGAGTGTAGGAAGTAAAACCGGTGATATCGAGATATTAAAAGAGTCCATCCAGATTTACAGTCGCAGTAAATTGATAATTAAGCCGATCTCAGAAAAAAGTTTTTCGATTTGGATGAGAAATCCGTTAAAAAAAATTGTCGAAAAGCATTGTGATGCAAATCGGAAAAAGTCCGTGACAACAAACACGGCGTGATCTACGTCGAAATCATTAGGCCCTTGTTATTAACTGCGATTTAATCATCCGACCCAAGGGAATTCGATACGGGACCCATTGTGGGACACTCCGAAATTACGGTCCGTTTGTTTCCGTAATCAACAAAGAAGTAGGAGGGGTCCGACCGTGGTCCCATTTTTGCTCCCTCCCCTTCATTGCCATGACGATACACTTTTAATAATTCGGTGTGCCCTTATTTTTGTTTGCCCTATAATAAGATAGGTGTTAAAAAAGGGGTCGCTGTGGGCTTTGTCATGCAAACGATCCTCTGATCCGATGGGCACCGGTTCTTTAGCTTGGAAGGGCAGCAGCAGCAGTACCTTCCGTTTAAATCGACATAAATTATTTAGTCTGTCGCTCCAGATTATAGGATTAACATTGAACACTGCATCGCGCAACACTGCACACAACACGGTGACGTTTTAATCGGGGTAAACAAATTCTTGCAGATGGCCAGCATCGAGGTGTCGTTATCGCAGACACCCAGGCGCAAGAAGAATGGAAGTTTGGGTGGCGTCAGTCTAGGCGGTTCTATAAGGTCTATACCCAAGGATGTTGCTGTTAAAGAGTTGGAGTCTCTGAGGAACGCGCTCAGGGACAAGGAGAACATCATCCAGAGCTTGAAGGGACAATTGAGTATTATGGCGTTGAGGCTCTCCCAAATCAGGAATGGGAATATCTGCAACAACAACAATGGCAATTGCTTCAGGGAGCTCTCGGAGGTGGAGAAGAAACAAGCCGAAGACCGATTGGCCAAACTACGCAACGAGACCGACGCCAAGAGATTAGCCATCAAGAACTTGAAGATGGCCTTGGAAAGAAGAGATAACACTGAGTGAGTACTAATTCTAACATATCAATTGAAATTCAAGTGAAAAATAACAAGAGAAAAGAAAATTACAATTTTATTTGATCAAACAACAGTTAAATAATTACTTTTTTGATACAAAATATCGAAATGCAGGATTATTTTTATTATAAAAATAAAAATCTAGTATATTTTTTTTTTCATTATTGTATTAAGTATTTACATTAGTAAATTATGTAGAAAAATCATTAACTTTTTTAAATTTCGATGACATTCAGTGAAAATTTTTAACAAAAAATTACGAGTTTCCTCTTTCTGGTACAAAAATATCAATGTCAATTCTGTTTGATTATTTATCTTTCATTAGCAAATAATCTCATATATTGATCGCATTCATCTAATATCTAATTTTAGAAGACATTATTCTGTCTTTACTTTTTATAATATCAACTTCATTTAAAATCGAAAATTGATAAAAATATTATCATCTAATATTGAAGTAACTAGTAAAATTTTGTTTATGTACCATGGCTCAATAATTCATAATAATAAGTTTTTATAGAAATATAAGAAAATAGTATGAATTATCAATTTTCAATTCATTTATTTCGAATTTTGAAACAACTTTTGACGAACTTTTTCAAACCATGTGAAAATCTCTAGCGTCTCTAATTAACGTTAAAAATCTTTAAAATTAAATCAATATTATACCGAAATTATCATAATATTATATAATTGAGTAACTTTAATAGAAGTTAAATAGGATTAATTATATATACAATATTTTTGACGAAAAATATCTAAATCTAGGTTGTTTATAAGAATATAGTCTCTTTTATATTTAGTTCTGATTATTATAAAAAAAAACTGTATCCTTCTTTTTTATTAGATATTTTGGGGACATTGCAAATTTACTCACAAAAATTATGAAGTTCTTTAATTTTCAATGTTATGTTATATATGTATCTCTAATTATTTTTAAACATTTATTCAAATTTAATTAATTTCCTTCATTAGAAAACTAATCATTTCATCAAAACATAAGATAAAATATTTATAGAAAGGGATAATTGTGAATTATCTATTTTGAATTGCATTGTTTTCATTTTCTTTAACTTTAGACAACTTTTAAAGAGATTTCAAACAGTTTAAAGAGTAGTGTTATAAATTAGACTTAATAAACTCTGAGTAATTTTAGTCGATGAATATTTTAACGAATCCAATTTTTCCTTGGATCAAATGCACCGAAGCGCGTTATATCGTCGTACCTGGTCGATGTCTCAATTAGTTGAGAACCCGTTGAGGCTTTCGCCAATGACGGAAAACAAGAATTAGGTGTCGCCAGGTATTTCTGAAATTTTAATTCACATCCCAACAAATTAATGCAAATCACTGCCATTACTTTTATTGCTCTCGCTTTACGATTATTACGAAAATAATCGATTCTTTTCGACGCGTTTCATCTTTCGGACTAATTGGCTTTCAAAATTTGAATAAATTCAAATGGAAATTGTATGTTTTATAGAAACACATAACAACATTTTTACATAATATTTGTTATGCATTTTATCATTTTGATTTTTTTTCCTTTGACAAAACGTCTACGTATTCGTTAAATCGGATAAGACTTACCATAATAATAGAAAAGTTTTAATATTTCTGTGATCATTAGAAAAACGTTTTGAACAATTAATAAATCATAATGATTTATTTGGGGTTTTGGGAAGGTTTATAAATATGGAAAAACTGAAACTGAAAAAACATGCAACAGATTTAGAAATTACTCTGACAGATTATATATTGCCAAGGAAGCAGACTTAGATGGTAATATGTTAGTCGAAGAAATGGGAGCTCTAAAATCTATTCTTTCATCGAAATATTTCCAACAACCATTTAAATTGTTTCAATTTTTATCTGAAAAGGACAGAGCTTCAGCATTTCCAAACTTATTTATTGCCCTTCGAATTTATTTAACAATTTAAGTAAGCGTTGCTTCTGGAGAGAGGTCATTATCTGCAGATTAATTATATTTCATAAATTTCAATATATGAAAAGTTGCGAAATTAGAAAAGTTTCATTATTTTCGTGAAAATTGAATTAAACAGCGTAAGATCAGAATAATTATTTAACATTCTTTAACTTTTAATATATCAAAAGTTGTGTAATCAAATGCCCTCCTGATTTAATAAAAAAAAAATGAAAATAAGAGAATTTTGATAGTTTTTAAAAATTTTAAAACAAAATAACAACAAAAATACCTAAATAATTATTTAACATTCTATAACTTTCACCATGTACAAAGATGACCTCTTTTTATAATTAAATAAAAATAATATAAATATTATAATAGTTTTCTTGAAAATTGAAAAAGAAACCAAGAAAAACAGATTAATAAAACAAAATTGGAAAATCCTAATATATCGAAAATTTCTTAACGTTTCAGAGATGAATTAATAAAATTAAAATTACAGTTTTAATGTGTGTTTAGAAAATGTATTTTTGATTGTATTATTATTTTATTCCTTTTGTAATTTAATTTTCAAACTTAATTGAACTGAACGATATTTAACGTAGTTGTTAATCTTGGATGGAAGAAAACGTATGATGTTAAGTTGGGTGGAAATATTAAACTGTTACATTGTCTTCGGAAGGAAGCCGTGTGACAATAGCGTAACGGATTAAATTGAGATAGGACCATTCAACTTCGACTTGGCAATAAGAACGTTTGCCGTTTGCCTCTGAACAATGCGATACGCTTCGATGAACTCCAAAGGAAGGTACCAAAAATTCAAACAAGAAGCAATAACTGATCATTAAGAAGAAAAAATAAGTATAGTTATCGTCCATTAATCCAACCATTAATATAGAAACAATGCGTATATGCGTTTATAATGATCACAGAAAAAACAACATTAATACACGATGTTTCTTTTTTTTAATTACTGGAACAATAATTAAAAGAACAAGAATTAATTGAAAGTAGACAATTTATTACAATGTAAGATGATCATTATTAGATCGTGCGAAATTAGAAATTTTACACGGGAGATTATCTAAAACGAATTACTTTCTTCCGAATAGTTACAAAATCCGCAACTCATGCAAAACTATGTTGATTATATAATTAATTAATTTTAATGTTCCCTGTTTAATACATGAAAAATGAATATCGAAGTGAGTGTGAAGAGGTAACGCTGCAGGACTGCAATAGCTTGCGTGTTACGGATGCAAACTGTTATTAGAATCTTGCTTTGAGGAAGAATTGAAGGCAAATAATAAAAAAAACGTTTCGCAAATTATATAGGTGCAGTTGAAGAGAAATAAAGTAAGAAAGAAAAGTGGATTATCGGTGCGAATTTGCTTAAAGCCTCGATGGATTTCCTCGTCCACCACTTGTCTACTTAATCTCTGACATTAATCTGTTACCGATAATTGCACATCCATCAGAATCCATCAACTTCTTGTTCCCCTTTTTTCACATTTTATCTGTTTCGCCGCTAATTCGAATGCATTGTTTTTTTTTCCTTCTCGCAACAATCAACGCATGGGAACAACACGTATTTAATATTGTATACATTTGTACTTGCCACAATGTTCACTTCAACACACATTTCTTTATATTTTTTTTTACTACCTTCATTCCGCTTCCTTCGCTTTCGTGCTCTTGAATACACTTTTCAAGTTTAAGTAGAAGATATTTCCTGTTTCGTTCTCCCATGCATTACTTGAGAATGTTCTGAAACAAAAACCAGAAGTCGATTGTAAAAAAACGCATTATATTATTTCAAAAAAAATATATTTACACAGGTAAATATCAAAATTGTGACAGTTTCATAATAAATTTTCGTTAAAAATAAAACAACTGCAATGAAACATCACCAAACTTTAGAGCTTTTACTGTATCATGTTATATAAATATATACCGTGTTATAAGAGGTTTAGATACAATCCCCAACAGTTTTATAAAGTATAATTTAATTACGATAATATATGTGTTTCTGCTGAATTAATTTCTCTTGTTTCAATGTAACATATTTAATACTACATAGATAAATTGATGAAAAGGTTCATTGATCGCTGAACGTATTTGATTTGACACTAAAGTTATGACATTAAAACTAAAACAGTTTTATAATATGACTTTTCTCAATAAAACATAACAACTGCAATGTTATGTTAGATCTATTAGCTATTAATTGATTTCGATACTTCCTAAAATTTAAATTCCTTGATTTACCGTGTTAAGTGAATTTATACCGTGTTACAAGTTTTAGATACAATCCCAAACATTAATTAATTACGATAATATATGTGTTTCTGCTGAATTAATTTCTCATGTTTCAATGTAACATGTTTAATAGTGCATAGATAAATTGATGATAAGGTTCGTTGATCGCTGAAGGTATTTGATTTGACACTAAACCTATGACATTAAAACTGTGACAGTTTTATAATATGTCATTTGTGTCATATAATTTATACCGTGTTACAAGAGGTGTAGATACAATCCTCTAATCGTGTAAAAACAGAACAGTATTTTATAAGCATATCTTGTTATACAAATGTATATTAATTGTTATATAATTTAATTATGTTCATGTTTTTGTTTTTACTTAATTAATTTTTCTCATTACATAATAATGCATCAATAAATTAACAATATTTGTTGATCAATGAACATAAATGATTTGACGCTATGACAGTTTTATGACATTTTGTAAAATAAAAAAACATATGAAATGTTTTGTTACGTCTATTATGATATTATGACAGATCAAGGAAAATTCTTAAATTGAAAATCTTTATTTTAAGTGAATATATAACGAATTCAATTCTTTAATTGTGTTAGAACAAGGAATACTTGTATAACAACAACATACTATTATCAATTACATAATTTAATTATGATAATATATTTGTATCTGCTTAATTAATTTCTCTGGTTTGAACACGTTACATACATTAAACGCAGCATAGATAAATTGATGGTAATCGCTAACAAGGTTCGTTGATCGCTGAACGTAAATGGATTTGTGTCCTAAAGGCCTGATGGACCGACCACCTAAATCGAAGCCGAACTCGATGTATTACATAATGTATTTGTCTATAACCGGAGAAGGAACACACGAAACAATACGCAATTGGAAATTAAGTCCAATTTATCAGACGGCGATGGTAGGAAACGGTGATTCATATTCGCATCCTCTGAAATTGTATGTAATTTTCATGGCTAAGAGGCATTGTACCTTGTTTCCTGAATCGCATTTATGCTTCATATATATTTGTCTCTTGGCTATTTGCATAAGCTCTTGGTTCTATACATACATACGTATTCCCATGAACAACAATAGGTAGGTAGACCCATTATCACGGATCATTGCGCAAATAATCAATTCCTCGATAGGAGACATTCTTCTTGCACATAATTCTTGAAAAATAAATTGTCTATTCATTTGTTATCTCAGTCTATTTTTAATATTTCTTATTCTTCGGTTGATGAACGTTTTAAACAGCGTTTCCCAACCCATGAGACAATTTAAATTTTTAATACGTCATAAAATGACAGCTGTCACGTTGTGTCAAAGCGGGAAAGTGGTGAAATAATCTTAAAAAATGGGTCACAACTACAACTACAAACAAATATGTTGAGAAACGCTGGTCTATACGACAAATTTGTGAGACAAAGTCCATCTGAAAAATACTTATAATGTAATGATATTTTCTAATGTTTTCTCTTTGTTTTTTTAGTAATATAGATGCACGGATCCAGCAAGCAGAGTTGGAGTACCAACTGGGAAGGGAAGAACTCAATCTTCTAACGTTGTTAGAGGAGACTCGAGCGCTTCAACATTGTCTGGAGGAGTCGAACAAGAAACTTTCCGACTCCCATACTCTCTTCAGGTGAGCCATATGGATATTTTTTTTTTGCATATTCCGAAACACGCTCTGCGTATCTTCACGAAGAAGACAAATAGCCATTATGTGGCTTTTAGACGGTACATCTCAGATCCCCCGCGCCTGATTACATTCGTTGAACCGTGTGAGATAATTCCCATATTGTAACAATCAATTTGTCATCGTACGACATGTTTCGCTAATTGCACTCTCACACACTCACTCCAATTAATTTAAATTAATAACAGCCGCGGTCGGCGACGTAATCAAAGAGAGAGAGAGAGAGAAAGAGCAGCGCGCTGAAATACTCCAATTTCCCTCCAATTACTCCGCTAAACAGTTAACAAATGCTTCCCGTCCATTCGAAATTGCTTTTTTACTAAGCGTACGCTATATACTTAAAGATAATTAGTTTAGGAACTTTGCTCTATAAAACCCGAAGGGTTGAACCCAATGAAAATAATAATAATAATATGTTCTTTTTTTTTCTGTATTGCAGTTGTTTGAGTGGTAACGAGCCGGTGAGTCTGCATATTGCCGAAATTGTTTACGACCCGAAGAGCCCTCGGTTCGGGGCTGGACAGAGAGATTCGACACCTGGTTTGTGGGTCGATTGGGCCTTAGAAGACACCGGACTTTGTAAAGGCGACAGGTAACATTCCTTAATCACGTACTCGATGGAAACATGTGTTAACCGCAGCAATTCATCACTGTGTCAACATAACATATGTTTCTCACTTTTTATTTTACAAACTAGAAACCAAATGTTGCTTTTACCTAATCTATTTCAACTATTTTGTTGCTAAATGAAGGAAGAAAAACGCAAAATAAGAAATTCACAACAAACATAATTTCACGACACTTTGATATCTAGCACCGCTCATTACGTAAACAGTTTCGTAAGAAAATTGAGTATTCGTTATTCACTTTTCATTACTGCAAATTACGGAAATTAACCGCTTTCGCCTTGCAATCTTTTTAATTAACAAAAAATAATAAATCGATTTTTTATTTCTTGCTAAGTGGATCATGTGAACAATGTTTCAACACGTGTAAACTCTTCGACGATTTGGGAGTTAAAAAAACAATAAACTAACGTGTTGAGTACATAGAATTAGCATACAATCTTAATTCGGAGCAAAGATTTCCAATTGGTTTTACGTGAAATTTTAGTTCACATCCAGATACAAAATGAGATAACAATAATTGCGTATTTAGAATGAAGATTGTGTATTCTTAAAAACGATCCTTAATTTAATTAAAGTCTTGGCGATAGAAACGAAAATTTTACATCAAATTCACAAAATTTAGCACAAAACGTTCTTTTCGTGAGAATTGAAAGTAAGTTGAAACATGTTTAATAAATTAGTGTTTTTGGAAAATGGTGAAGTTGTCAGTTGTTAGATGAAAGCAGTAAATATTAATAAATTGTAAGTGTGAAACAGATTATTGCAATTGAATTTTAAACGGGAAACCGCTTTGGTTTGCAATTTATCGGTTTGCTCGCATTCAAAGATGCAACCGACGAATATCTCCGGCGCTAATTAGAAGAAACAAGTTTTAATTGTAACTGTAACCACGGAGCGGTGTTCTCCCGATCCTAATCCAGATGTTGGCAGTTTATTGGTGTTCTGGAACGGTTTTCCAGATAATTCAGTGATTAGAAGCGGCAACAGGTGCGGCGATCCTTAATTTACACGGCGATAGTGCGCGCTGCGTACACACAGGTGTAAAAGAACAGGATGCATGGGTGGAAGGTCGTAATGGCTGACTTCATTTGCATTGTCCGAATTTCCTGTGGATGCGTACACACTGGAAAACGAACGATTCCTTCAACCATCAAGTTATTTATTTTTTCTATCACAAAAAAAATGTATGAAATTATTATTACTGTCATCCGTTCATCTCTGAAGAACCTGGAAAAAGCAATTCTTTCAACCATCAAGTTTTATTTTATATAAAAAAAGTATAAAATTATTATTAATGTCATCCGGTTTCTCAAAAAAAGCTGGAATTGTCTTAAGTTTCATTCTATGAAAATAAAAACGTGTTTCATTTTATTAAAATTGTCGTGCGTTTTCTCATAAGAAAGTGATAGTCAAGATGCATATACAAATGATCGTTAAATCATTATTGTTGCAAGAACACGTTTTTCCTGCGAAAAATTATAATAAAAGTCGCATCATTAGAGAATTTCACTGCACGCAATGTAAAAGTAAATAATAAATTGAAGACTTTAGCTCATGTGTTGATTGTGTTATAATAACTTATTAAATATGCATATTACAGATTGGTCGAGGTAAACGGTAAAATTGTGTTGACGAAAGGAAGAGAAGATCTTGCGAGATTGTTGCACGCAGCCCCAGATCCCGCTCTTTTGGTGGTTCTACGAAAAGGGAATAACGGTGGTTGTGCTGTGACATCTTCGACTTCAAGAGAGGTGGCCGCCCTGAGATGCGAGCTGGAAGTGGTGAAGGAGCGAGCGGAGGAGTCTCAGAGAGCCAAAGATGGTCTTAGATCCGATAACATCCGACTAACTCATCGAATCTCTTATTTGGAAGAACAGGTATTATGATGTAAAGGATTTCGCGAAACTTTTATAAATATTCATTGCGTTCTTTCTTTCCTTGTCGCAGGTCTCTGAACTTCTGAATCGGAAATCTCCAGATTCCGACATTCGTGTGGTCACCCAAAGTCCGGTCATAACGTCCACGGTGAAGACGAGCCAGAATGTAACCAACATAAACATCTGTTCGCAGCCAACGCAGGTGGTAAATAAGGAGCAGGTATTCCAGAAGGGTCCGCAGATGACCACTTTGGTGTCCAACGTGCCCGGGCTCGATGTTGCAAAGGATTCCGCCCTTCCGATACGTTCGAAGAGCAGTTTATCGAACGTTTCCAACACTCTGATAGCTCCCAGTCCGCAGCCCTCGGATCATTCTTGTCATAAAGGTCACAGGCACAAGCACAGATCTTCGCGCAACATGCTTCTATCGTCGAGCACACAGAATTTGGACCAGAATTACAAGAAACACCATCACCATCATCATCATAGAGAGAAGGACTACAGCTCGGAAACGAATTCGGAAATGTACAGGGCGAGGAAGAGCTTGGATCATCCGAGACTCACCGAATACCCCGAAGCCAACAACCTCATGGATCAGAGCTACAGGAAAGCCACGAAAATCGTTCAGGATCTCACCAAGAGCAAAGATAACCATCTTTATGAGAAGCACCGCTCCAAGTGCATAGGAGCGTCGGAAAAATACAACTCAGACATGTTACGCCATTATAACTCAAGAAAATCCACATCGGTCTTAGATTTCCGCTCGGAGATCCACATCGGTCCTAAATACAACGACTCCAGAAGCGTCGAAGAATTGGACACCATCGACAATAAGAATACCTCGAAGCGTTTATATAAAAAACTACACGACGCTCGCAGCGTTAAATCACTAGACTTCGACAGCGATTGCAATTATCCACCGAACACCCCTAAATCCGTGGATTACACTTCAGAACCCATAGATAATCACAAGATGAATGTGAAACCAAGACCCACTCCACCCAAGAAACCGCTAAGATTATCTTTGCATCGAGCGCAGAGCTTGCAATCAGTGGAAACACCTCCAATCACACCGAACGGATCTCCGCCAGGTCTCGACCCAAGGAAACCCATGAAGAGGAACTACAAGGGCGAAGCTCCTTTAAACGGACACGATAAAAGTACCAATATGGATCCAAGACCGCATCAGAAGGAACCGCCGAAGTGGACAAGCTTCGCGCAAAAGAAAGACAACTTGATCTTCATCAACGACGGAAGAAGATCCAACTGGTGTTAATTGATTAATCTTGCCACACAAAATAACGGTACTAATTCGTGCAATATTCGACGCATCTATTCCTTCCACCAAGCAAACTATCGTTAACAAACTAAAATAGTGTTTTTTGTGATATAGTTTGTATCATTTTATTATTTTTTTCTGAACTGATTTCTTATTTTATTTTATAAATATTATATGAATAGATATATAAATATATATTTTTATTGGTAGGAGTTAGTTACTTTTTAGTTAATAAAAATAAATTTGCCTTTAGAAATTAATTTATTTTTTGGTAACAAATAAAACGAAAACGATTTTCCACGTCAGTAAAACAATAAAAATAATGTATATTATAAAAATAAGACCGCATAATCAAAAAAAAAAGTATTTGTTATACTTTAATTTAAAATAAATATAAAAACAAATACACACATAAAACAACTTGCTTTTTTTTTAGTTTATTATTCTTTTCTAAAACGTTAAAACAACCGTTGAAAATGATGTTCACGTATATCATCCCAGTCACAAATAAGAAACATTAAAAGGAACTAGATCAAAGTCCTCCTATGATCTGCAACGAGGAGGAAAAAAAAGATATAAGAATCAGATAGCTCGAGCGTCTTCAACTTCGATTAGATAATTCTCAAAATTACATGATCTCCAGACTGCTGTCGCTCGTCTTCGTGGCGTGTTCGGGATCGGACGATCCGGATCCAGACCCGATCTCCAACAGCTCTTCTCCCTTTCCATCCGTATCCGGTTCTTGCACACTAGACATCTGCCATGCCGGTATCGAAGGCGGCACTACGGGACTGTTTGACACTGAAGGAAAATTTTTCCTGTTAAAACAATTTCTTTAAAAATTAATCATAACATAATCACGCGCACTTCGAATGTTATATAAAGTACTTTAGTAAATCAATTTCCGCTGATAAATTTCATCAAACGTAAATATAAATAATCTATTGGACAAAGTTCAATAGGATCAACCTTCATAAGGCAACAACAAAAAAAAATGGGCTTTCGGAATCCGCTAATAAAAGTCACTGTTCAGTTACTAAATATTCAATACATCACTTATTGCATTATGCAGATTTTTGTAAAACTATGTTCAGCCTTCACATGAATAAGTTCAAAGTTCAAATCTATTTAAATAAAGTATGCATTATTAAATTGAAAAGGGAAAATCTATAGTCATTATATTTAACAACATTAAAAGAAAATGATAATTAATAATAATAAATTTAATTCATTTAATATCGTTATAAAGTAAATAAAAAAAAATAGTTAATTCCAGTTTTGCAAAAATTACCAAAATAAAGTATACATATAATTGATAGTTAAAAGTACCTTGAGAGTAAAAGTCCCTTGACTGTTGATATTTCTGATTGAAGATTCTGCAATTGCCTTTGCGTGCTTGTCTCTGTTCCCTGTCCAATCCTGTCCACTTCAACTTTAACACTAGCTAAACCATCTTTCAATTCACCCACAGATGCAGTCACTGTTTTATTCAGTTCCTCAACTGTCTCCTCCACACTCTTCTTTCTTCCAAATAAATATGGTTTAATAAACTTCTATAAAATCAACAATATTAATTATATCCATGTTTTTGGCTTCTCCAAAGAAACAAACCTCATAAAACTTGTATAATGCATAGCCAACTATACTAAATATAGCTGCATTATGCACTGCATTCCGGATCCTATGAAATATAGACACTTCCATCCGAGTGTAAGTATTATATGGTATTGGAAGTTGTGCTGGTAACGGTGGAGGCACTCTGCTTTGATTCTCATGCATTTCATAGGCGCCCGAACGTTCACATGCCATTTGTACCTCTTCATCTGTCAAGCCTTTCCTCTGCAGAAACTTCTGCTTTTGTGCTAAAGGTGTATTAACGACCTTAGGATTTTGCAAGAACTTGATGGCAGTCTGAATCTGCAGGATAGAAGTCACAGTTAGCAATGATTTTGTTGGATATTTAGGTACTTGCTAGTTACCAGGTCTTCGCGTGGAGGCGTCTGAAAGCTCTTATCAAGCTCATCGTTGGTAGACATATTTCACTTAAGTAAAGCTAAAAAGAAATGTGGGATAAAAGCAGTAAAACTTGTAAACACTTAACTAATTGAGGACGATCTGATAAAAGTGACATTGCATGTATGTACATTCATTGACAACTTGTGTATATGCAACCAAATTTATAGTATTTTTAAAAAAATATTTCATTTTACTTCTTAAAAATTATTATCCTTAGTAACCTTAAACAAATAACTAATAATTATGTAGATTAACTATAAATTTTAAGATTGTTATTAAAGAATAATAAACTATTAAAAAAAAGTTTCAAACTCAAAATTACATTATAAAATATATTGCTGAACATTACTTAATTGTTATCTAATAAATTAAGAACATATTTAAATGTTGATATAATTATTTTAACTAATCAAACTAGTAAATTTGGTTGCTTAACTAGCAACCTTTTTCAAGAATTCAATAGATACCACTAGTTGTATAAATTTGAAGTTACATAAGCATTTCAAATTATATTTTTAAATACAGTGGAACCTCGCATAACGAGCATTTTGCTTAAGGACCAAAATTAATTGTAAGAAAATAAGCGAGCCGAACGACGTTTCGGATAACGAGTGACGATGAGTAGAGAAGCCTCGGATTGCGCGCCTGCTACATCATTTTTAAAACTTGTGTACACATATTATGTGTATTTTTGAATATCTTTCACTATACGAGTATTTCACTATACTCGTTAAGCGAAGTTCCAGTGTATTGCGTTAGGAGTAATATCATTGATAATTAAAATTTGTCTTATTGAATAGAAGTAACTATTAATCAAAAGATCTTTATTAATCGAAAAAAAACATCATCATTCAACATAGTTTAGATTTATCAGAATGTAATAAATTATTTTCCATTTCCTACTTATAAGTATTATTTTTTTTTTAGAGAATATACAAACAAAATTTGTAGTTGTATTCTTTTTGACAGTGTTCGATCGTCTTCGGCATTTCCATAATTTATTTACAAGTTTTTACCTTTTGATTAATAACGAACTAATTGACTACAAACATCTAAATTATATACACATTTCAGAGAAACAAAAAGAAAAAAAACAGGAGAAGAATTAAAAATAATAATAAAAAAATATTTATATACGTAAAGAACAGTAATTCTTATCGACACACCGTTTCAGGTTGTTCACATTATTTGTCATTGTAATACAGTTTCAGTTTCACATACATCATCGCTTCGTTACACAATCAATAAACAAAGTATCATTAAAAATTTAAAAAATTAAATAAAGATATAAAGACAGAAGAAAAAAACAGTTTGCTTATTGTAAAAGAGACGAGGAAATAAAAATGCTGCAGTTATATACAATGACTCATTACAGATCAAACGAGGAATATAACTACTGTATTGAGTAATAGAAATAAAAAGGAAGTACAACGTTTATTCTAGACACAAAAGTGAATGGGCGTTTCGAATAAAAACAATAGATGCTAAAAGATATAATGAGTCAAAACTAAAGAAAGAAAAGTGTGGAGTGAAATGCAACGAACTTTTGTCCATAATCCGATTGGTGTATGAACAAAGAAAAATTCGTTCGCGCGCCCGTAAAGAATTTTTTTGTTTTCTTATTCTTCAGATCACATCAGTACATTCTTAGGTATCTACAAACAAATAAAGAAAAAAAGAAGTAAACCAAACATTTTCTGATGCAGAAAATATTCCCATTAACTAGTCCTTATCAATAATTATTATTCAAACCGAATGGGCGTGCTCTCAGGCTCAAGCCCCACAATCCCATCGACTTAACACGTCTAGTATACACTTTCATCAAGTTTCTGCCAGTTCACGAAACAAAACCTGCGAATATTGCCGTTGTATATACAAGGTGCTTCTCACGCACACCGCAATATTTTAATAATATTAAAACAGACAAAAAAAAATCTCAACAAGTACATACATTACTAACCTCTTTGGTTTTTGTACACATAATCAAAAAAAAAAGAAAATCGCAAAACGTCAATTAAGTTATTAAGGTGCAAGAAAAGAAAATAAATATTTTTCTACAAAAAAAATAATAAAAATACATATATGCCTCTGTTAATCAATTCTCCTAATTCCAATAAACATATTTTAAAGCACCAATGTTATCTACCTATCTGGTTACAACAACAACAAAAGTAAAGGAAATGGCATCATATTAACTGTGATTTTTCAAAAAAATTTCCATCAAAATTTTTCTTAAAGAAAATCTATCAAAGCTTCATTATTAACAGATAACCTCACCGGCACAGACAATAAGAACTAAATTATAATAATATCATATTCAGATGATAGTCAAACAAAAAAGAAGAAAAACGTTAGAACAAAATAGTATTATTTTATTATTATTATTATTAATATTAATTAATCACTAGCAATGTTTTGTTTGTTAAATTATTGTTCACATCCACTTCAAACGTGATTGTCCAAAATCATATGGTAATAGTTTCGGTTTAGCACTACAAAACCAAAAAATAATAATTGAAAATAATAAAGAAAAAAAATATAAATGTTATAAACAATTCAAACCCCAGCGCAACGGAAAAGAGAAACAGAGTCAGAGATATAGAGAGAAAACAACCGTGAGATGTTCTTGCTTAAAGTAGTTTTTTTTCAATTATTATTACTTTTTAATGTAAAAAAAAAACATAGAATGTACAAGAAAATCATTTTCAATGGCGGCATGGTGTTTATCTGTGAGTGAGTTTTGTTTGTGGGTTTCTAGCGGGGTAAAAATTGTGATTGATTCTTCGACTGACCTTTTCCTTTCTTTTTTATACAAAACAAACAAAAAAAGAGAGTACTTTTTTCTTTCTTTCTTTTTTCTAATTATTACTATAGACGTCGTTGATTGCGTGAGAGCACCGATCGGACGTCTATCGTGAAACGCAGCGCGTCCAAAACAGGTAAAAGGTTTAGTAGCGCTACGTCCCTGGGATCCGAATACCACGATTCTATGGGTATCGCATTATCTGAAAGACAGAAGCATAAGGTGAAAGGAAAATCGGAGATTATAGATGCTTAAAGCTAGGAGAAATACTTACTGGGGAATCCCCGGTACGCTCCGGGGTTGTTGTCTAAAATGAAGACGGACGACAGATCGTTGCAGATGACGCTGAGATCTTTCGTGTAGAAACCTAGGTCGGCGGTGCAGTGCTGCCTGTAGAACCGCCTCTGCAAAATACCTCTACCGCCATCCAGACGATCCACGACCGCCGATCCGTATATTTCCATGCTTGCCGTGAACACCACCAGCTCGTACCTAAAAAATAAATCATGAAACTTAATATTTAAAAAACAAAATCAGTTCCTGCAGATCTCACCATTTTGACACTATATTCAGGAAGGTGTCCACGTGCGGACGCTTGTGAACGAAGAACCTCACAGGATGATGATCGATGATCACTTTCACGACGAAATCGGGAGGCGTGCCCGGTTTCACCATTTGCTTCGAAACGCCCTCATGATGCGAATGTATTAACGTCTCATCCAGATCGAGCACTAACGTCTTTCGTTTCACTATATCTGCAAATACCAGAAAACATCATTAACATCAATAAATCTCAATTCCAACAACATTTGAACTTACTTAGCCTGTGCATAGACACGTGTGACAATGGAAACAAGTCATATTTGACGGATTGATGTTGGATTATCTAGAAAAATTCAAATAATTATCTTTATTTAAAACATAAATATCAAATGATTAATTGGAAAATACTATAGTTTATCTATTACCGTGGAACAAAAATGACAAACAATAACCTAAATTTAGACCAAAACTCATAAACAAAACATTATATTTTATTACGTGCATAAACGAAATACCAGACGAATGTAATTGGTTTTACGTAAAAAAAAAAACAAGACGTATAATTTAATTCACGTGCTTCAGCATTTTTCCGCAAAATACCTCAAATCATAACGTCTAATTCCGATTATACAACAAACAAAAAGTTGCAACGAATCCACGCATTGTACTAATTACGCGAAATCTTATCGTAGTCCATTCAATATTATCTTAATTACATTGAAAACAAGTGTTCTTCAGGTAAAAAAAATGTATAATAAAAGTGTACAATTCAATGTACGTTAATCTTAAGTTGGGAATACTAAAGCTGCTTAGATAATAAGCGTTGTTCAAAGTGCATAAACAATCTCTCGATTTTAGTGTTTACGAACTTTAGTGCAATTCATTTGCCACTATTCATTTCGATAAGTCGATAAATAATCGTGAATTCTATTTTTTGTAAAATATTTTAACGCGATAACTTTTAATAGAAATGCGATCAACATAAAACTATATATATATAAAAAAAAACGGTAATTGCAGTGAGGTTACATTGTTCTAGCCGACCTTAAGGAATACAAAAAAAATGCGCTCCTGAAGGTCACGCACATGGAACAATTGTCTAATAGATTTAGCGCTAACAATACTTAAATTTTGATTTGATGTAAATATATGAGAATTAAGAATGTAGCATTAATTTGCGGATTGACGATCCAATTGCAATAGACGTTTGCAGATTCGCTGAGATGAAAACTAAATATAGAAAGGAAAACAATTCCTTATCACAACCCAACTGACAGTGAATTAAACATGAGTTGAATAGTAGAAAAAATGAAATTGTTTGTTTTATGAATAATCTTTATAATTAAATAATTCTATTTAATATCTGCATGTAGGTTGTGATTTCACTTTTCATGCCCTGGGGCCAACAGAATAATTATTCATTTTTTATGTAAAGGAATTCAACTATGCCCAGAATGATGTGTTCGCAATGCACAGAACCATTTGAAATAGCCAAATCTGAGCAGGCATCCTGCCAAAAGGTCGGATGCCAAAATATAATGTAACCTGTATGTATATTTATTTTTGTAGATAATTATATTATCAAAGATGACAAAACTTTCAACAAAAAAAAAAATTAAAAATGTATTTATATACATATGCCTATCAGAAAAAAAAGAAGAGGACAAAAAAAAATCCAAAGCAGCTGTAGATTTAAGCTAAATTAAAATGTCATCCTTCTTATCATGGGTAGTCATGATACCCTGAAGCATAAATACTATGTGTGTGCTTGTGTGTGTACATATAACTATGGAAGTGTGTGTTTTATATATATATAGATATATAGAGTTGTACAATTCGTATATATGTGTGTATGTCAATATGTCAAACTTTAAAAATTGATCAATTAAAACAGGAAGGAAAGGCGTGCGTTTGTCGGATCGCGGTATGCTGGATGCGGATGAGTTTCGTTGGCAGCTGGCCCTTACCGATCTAGTTTGTTTTTTAACTATGAAACACAAACAGTTCCAAACTCTGGACGCTAGCAGCAAGAATGCCCTAAGTCCCATCTGTATCTGCTTCCACATTTGTAGTGTTTATGAAATCACCGTCGTCCTCACAATTATGCACCGCGCGATACCGAAAACATATAGGAAGTTCACTGTTTTGGTCCTAACTTATCACATTTTATTAAGAATAACATACATAAACCGCCATGCCAGTATAGCAATGAATGTAGGCACGATCATCTGTCAACCAGCATCACCGCCGCTCTTTCCCCATGAACGTTGTACTATACTGCCAACGTCACATTTATCTGTCATAATAGAATCTTGTTTGCCGTATGCAACTCACCTACCTTAGGTGATCAAATATTTGCATATGAAGAATACACATGTCCTTATAGGGAACTATTATATAATTCAAATATTCAAAAAGCATCAACTTTAACAGATATAACTGTGGGATGATATCCACCACTAATCACATTTTTTTTTGAATGCAACAGTGCTGCTACAAACGTGCTCATAAGTGGACTAATCACTCAAAAAGTTTACCTTCCAACATCAATAGACGTCCTGTTAAGGATGAAGGATAGCAAGATATATAGACTGATTTTAAATTTTATCAAAAACTCTGGATGTGTTGTTTGAATATTTATTATATATGTGTTTATTCTGTTGTCTTTTTTATGCTTTGTTACCCCTTATTAATCTTTTGTAACACGTTTTATTTACCGATCCGAGGCCTTCCCACACTGTGATAAGAGCTGATAGGTCCCTGCTCGTGAAAAGTTTGTATAAATGTTGAATTATTTTTTGTTATTTTTATTATTTATAAATTTTTTGTATATTTATAAATTAGCAGGGTGATTCTGTGTAATTGTCTTTAGACATCTTAATAGTCCATTCACCTTTTTATTGTTATATTTTTTATATTTTTGCTTGTTTATATACTCTTTTAGTTTGTTTGTATTAGACATTGACTGGCTCCATACACTGTAAGGTGTGAGTTAAGTGCACACCTCCACTCTTATAGAGTGGAGGAATCAGAACAGAACAGAACTTAACGGATATAAATTACAAATATATAAGGTATCTTCCAAATAAATCATAATTAATATCTAAAAACATAAGTTTATAAAATGTTTGTATATCAAATACATATATATAGGAAACTATTATATAATTCAAATATTCAAAAAGCTTCACTTTCTTCTTCCTTCCATTCAACTTCCTCATTTGGGAACTTAACTAAAACTTCTATTCCAAACTTAAAATGAGTTCAATAAAACACATATATTAGAGAGATACTGGCAAGACAGGTAAAGATAAGTAAGGGTACGAATCGAACACAAATATAAAACATATTTTGTACCGGAGTCACATAGGTTTTTCGAAAGACCTCGGAAGGGTATAAATTAGATATGTTAACATGTTAAAATCAAATTGCGGAGTTAAATGTTCTTATAAAATGTAGAATTGATATGTAGACGTCAACATTATCGGATGCAGCAATTGCTCATAAAGAACTCCGAAAGCCTCACTATTGATTTCACATGCAAAGAAGATGTGATCCAGCTTCACTTTAAGTGATATAAATTACAAATATTGATAGTATCTTGCAAATAAATCATAATTAGTATCTAAAAACATAAGTTTGTAAAAAACGTTTGTATATGAAATTCATATATGATTACAAATAAATCATTCATATTTTAAAACATACATTTATAAACCTTATTGTATATTAACAAAAGCTTTAACGTTAAGTGATATAGAGTTGAAATATTTATAGGATCAACAGATTCTTGCAAATAAATAGTACTTGAAATCTACAAATTTTAATTTATGAAACTATTGTTTTATAGAAAACTATGATACAATTCAGATTTCAAATAGTTTCAACTTTGAGAGCCATCTATTTCACTTGTTTGTATAATCATCAGCTACTTGCAAATAACTTATAATTAGTATATACAAATGTTAATTTATTAAAACTTTTTACTTACTAAGAAGTAGAATACAGTGGAACCTCGCTTAACGAGCACCTCGCAAAACAAGCAGTTCGCTTAACGAGCAAAATGAATTGTAAGAAAAATGACTCGTTTAATGAAATGAGAAGAGAAGTCACTGATTGCGCGCCCGCTACATCATTTTTTAAACACATATTATGTGTATCCGAAAATTTTGGAACAAATTAAACACGTTAAGCGAGGTTCCACTATAGCTTAAATATTTAAAAATTTCAAAAACTTCAATTTTAAGAAATATAAATGTTACATATTCATCAAATCAACAAATTCTTATAAATAACTTATAATTAATATATAGAAACGTTATTTTATTGAAACTTTTTACTTTCTTAAATATTCAAAAATTTCAAAAGCTTCAACTTCAAGAAATATATATTTTATTCACACAATCAGCTACTACTTGCAAATAACTCATAATAAATATCTAAAAACATAAATTTACAAAATTTTTGACTATGAAGAACAAGCATGATCTTATAGGAAAAGATTTGTTAATTCAAATATTTAAATTTACAAATTCAATTATGAAAAATATAGGTTCTTGGAAATTACCCATAATTCATATTTAAATACAATAATTTAAAAAACTTGTGAATATGAAAAAATATAACAAATTATAAACTAATTTTCACCTTATTATGTCAATTTATAAAACGTTTCCCAATGAAGAACACATATTTTGGAAAGTTTTAACTATTTTAACTATTAAAATTTTTTAATAGTTTTTACATTGAGTTTTATAAATGTTTTTATAAATTACAAACAAATTAATTCAAGAAACTATTAAATAATTCAAATATATAAAAATTTATTCATAGATTCATTATGATCAAAGCCTTTCTTCTTTTCTAATTACAAAGATCAAAAACAGGTTTTAAGTTTTCAATTCACAAAGTATATAAATATTTACTAATAAATGGGCAGAAAGATATATGGTCAATAGCCCTCTGCAGCAGCTAACTTTTTATTTTATTAATATTGTTGTATAAAAAGGTTTTATTTTCTTAACATCTTTTCACAAAAAAAAATCTTTTACTTTTAAAAATAATTTATTAACTTCTCTTAAAAAAGTGTAGATTTTTCTAACAAATATTACTATTTTTATTTAATTTTAAAGATTTTTTAATACAATTAGAAATTATTTCATTTCATCAACAAAAAAAAATGCATTTAACAATAAACATTGTTTTATTGTAAGTAACTTCCTTTCAGATAAGTATTATATCATGCGAATTAGAATTTTATTACATGTATATAGATAACATTGAGCTATGCTCACATGATAGAGTTTATATAAGTTTACAAAAAATGTGTTACATTAATATTATTTTATTGCAATAAAAATAACAACAAATAACAACAACAAAAAATAAAACATTAATGATTTTTCTCAATTCTTCTTTTTTTTTCATAGAAATTTCCATATCAATAATTTTGAGTACACACAAACTTTATTATATGATAACACCGTAATACTGTTTAATCTTTAAATTATTTTATTACCCGACTATCGCTACTATTAGAGTAATGAGGTATTAATTCCATGTTTCCTATACCAATAAATATTTAATTTGTTTCGTCGTTTTATCAATAAAATAACATAAATATTAATTAACAACAAAAAAATGATATATACGGGAAAATATATGAGAAAAGATAGTGAAATTTAAGAACAGAAAATGTATATTTAATTGAAAAAAAAATATTATAGATTATTTGAGTTTCCTTTATTATCGTTTTTTGATATTATTTAACATCAAGAATATATCTGCTATTCTAATAATTTATTTTACATTTATAAACTTTTCTGATATGAAACTAATATTAATAATGTTAAATTGTATCATAATGAAAGTCTTAATTCGTAAATTCAATTTCGATTTATTAAATTATCATTACTAGACATCAATTAACGGATACTAACTATACTAAGTATAAAGTGTTGATCCCTTTATGAATAGGAGTACCAATAAATAGGAGACAGAATAAAGCTGAATACAGCAAATGTTGTTAAATCTTGATTAAAAAATATTATAATGACTAAGGTGTTATTTTCAATATACTTTATTTTATTGTAATTCAAATTAGAACATTGATCAATAAAGAATTTAGAAGATAATTTCTTCTGGCCTCAAGGATTCAACGCCTCCGGGAATTGGATGAAAGATGTTGTCGCATCCTGGTTCATTTTCTGGGAAAAGTGGAAGCACGGAGATTGGTGGCGGCAATGGACGAGTCTGTGGGTTCACTTCAATTGGCAACGGCATGACTTGTGGGAAAGTTGGTCCTGGCAATACTTCGACATGTGGTGGTTGGGGCATTGGCCATGGTCTCACTTGTGGTGTAATTGGGGCTGGAAGAATTCCGGCTGGTGGTGGCAATGGACGAGTTTGTGGTGTAGTTGGAGCTGGAAGAATCCGGCAATGGTGGTGGAAGGGACGAGTTTGTGGTTGTCCTGGAGCTGGAAGAACGGAGATTGGTGGCGGCAATGGACGAGTTTGTGGTTGTCCTGGAGCTGGAAGAACGGAGATTGGTGGTGGAAGAGGACGAGTTTGTGGTTGTCCTGGAGCTGGAAGAACGGAGATTGGTGGTGGCAATGGACGAGTTTTGGTTGTCCTGGAGCTGGAAGAACGGAGATTGGTGGTGGCAATGGACGAGTTTGTGGTGGAATTTCAGATGGCAATGGCATCACTTCTGGGAAAGTTGGTCCTGGCAATACTTCGCCATGTGGTGGCAGAGGCAATGGCAATGGACGAACTTGTGGCTTTCTGGGGCTGGAATGGTTGCACTTCTGGGAAAGTTGGTCCTGGCAATACTTCGACCATGTGGTGGTTGGGGCATTGGCCATGGTCTCACTTGTGGTGTAATTGGGGCTGGAAGAATTCCGGCTGGTGGTGGCAATGGACGAGTTTGTGGTTGTCCTGGAGCTGGAAGAACGGAGATTGGTGGTGGAAGAGGACGAGTTTGTGGTTGTCCTGGAGCTGGAAGAACGGAGATTGGTGGTGGCAATGGACGAGTTTGTGGTTGTCCTGGAGCCGGAAGAACCGAAATTGGTGGTGGCAATGGACGAGTCTGTGGTTGCCCTGGAGCAGGAAGAACGGAGATTGGTGGCGGCAATGGACGAGTTTGTGGTTGTCCTGGAGCTGGAAGAACGGAGATTGGTGGTGGCAATGGACGAGTTTGTGGTTGTCCTGGAGCCGGAAGAACGGAGATTGGTGGTGGCAATGGGCGAGTTTGTGGTGGAATTTCAGATGGCAATGGCATCACTTCT